TTTGAATTTGTACACTCTATAAATATAAGGCAACCATTTCCTTTTTCAGTATTTGTCTGTGGTGCATTTTTCTCTGTTTTAACAAAAGGGGAACAAAGGACATTTAAGTCCACGTAAGATGATTTGTTTTAATTTTTAATTTTTGCTAAAACACATTTACCTGTTCATAATTGCAATTAAATAACTGTAATTTGGCGTCTTATTTTTTTTAAAGTGCTTTACTATGTTTTGTTTTGTTTTGTTTTTTAGTAAAACAATGAATTTTAAAATAATAACAACAATAATCATGATGAATATTATCATTAATTATTATTATCATCATATAATTTAATATATGAACCTTACACTGGGTTGTATTTTCAAACAGTAATGAATGAATTATCAGTCTCCTGTGAGCAAACATTTGGCGACAGCGCTGAGGAAGAACTCCCTTTTAACAGGAAGAGACATCCTGCAGAAGCATGCTCAGGGAGTGGCTGCTATCTGTCATGACAGGGTGGGGGGCATAGAGAACAAGAAAGTAAACAAAAGGCCAAAAATAGTGCACACATCCTCTGTGTCTACCAAGATTGCTCATTTTGACGGAACCTACCTGGTAAAATGCCCGTAGAGTCGTAAAACAGGTCATTTAGTAATCTGAAGGTTGGTAGTTCGATCCAGCCTGCATGCCAAAGTATGCTTTAGCAAGGTACTGAAGCCCAGGTTGCTCTCCAATGCATTTGTTGGCATGTATATGTTAGAAAGCACTAAGACGTGAAAAAAGTGCTTGTATAAATGTGTGTGAATGGGTGAACCAGGCCTGTTGTAGTGCTTTTAGTTCTCAAGTAAAGTTCCTACGTTCAGACAAAGAGAAACAAGGGTTACTCCCAGTAGGAGTCCAAAGGGGGAAGAGTTACATTAAATTCTGTAGTATAATGGAAACCATTATCCACAGCTTGTGGCTGTAAAATATGTGTTGCAAGATGTTAACTATTCAACTGTTTTGCAGATGAGCTCACAGTGAACGGGCAGTATCAGTGCCTGGCAGAGCTGTCCACCACCCCTGTCACCGTGTGCCACGGCACAGGCATTTCCTGTAGCAACGCCCACAACGACGCAGCCCACAGCGCACTACAGTACATCAAGGCCTCCATCAAATAAACAACGGCGCTGCCAGCAGTCGCTGCACCCACAGTGTCACATACATCAGCTGATGCCCAGTCTGCGATTGCCCGGGTATATTTTTGTAATCATGCACATGGCAAAGTAGACTCAACTGCGCAGTAACCCGAAAAAGCATCAGCTTTATTTTTCACCTCTATTTATACTCGCGAGCCAACTGTAAAAGAATCGAGCGGAAGTGTGGTTGTTTTTATGTTTTTATTTTAAATGTCCCAAAGTATGTGATGAAAAGTGGAAGAATATTACAAACTATTTTCTTTGTATCTTTTTACACACAGTGTGAGTGCAGTCAGTGGTTTGAATGTCTAGTTTTTCCATACATTTTGTCCACTGTGACATATGGACAGAAAGACAGGCCATGTTTTTATTTCTTATTAGTATTTATTTTGTCCTACTTCCACTCATCCATCGCTCTTTATCAGTTTGACTCGGAAGAGAAAAGATGATTGCTGGTCTGTTGTAGTGTGCCTCTGTATAGCTATAGAAGTAAAACCTGCTCTATATTTAATAGATTTACTGACTGGTGTTCTCTGCTGTATGAACTTACTGTTGGTAGAGAAAAATGGCAGCAACAACAAGTGTTCAGATCCAGTAAATAAATGAAATAACATTAAATAAATGTTAATGAGTGTTGGTGTGTGTTAATGGCCATGCAATAGAGCCTACTGAGAGAATAAATTGCTGTGGCGCCTTCAGGAGCCGGCTGCTGTGTTATTGATTGAAATGCGTCCCGTGGGAGATGACTGCTGGACAGCCATTCATTCGTCAGCCAGCCCATTGTTAAGCAAAGCTATTATTACAAAGCTAATTACATCAAAGTGAATTAATGGGTGCTTTCTACTTAATTTGTGTTGTTTTATAACAAAAAAGTGGCCCAAAGAAAAGTCAAATACAGTAATTTATTTATTAGATTTTTTTTTTTACTCTAAAGAGTGATATTTGCACTCACTTGGAACCCCTTTTGTCTTCACAAACATCCTAATTCTTCATTTCATAGTTTCAACAAGGTGCCTCACAGATTTTGTTTTATAGTTACATAACAGCATCTCACAGGCCCTGCAGATTTGTTGGACACACATCCAGGATGTGAATCTTCTGTTGGACCACATCCCAAAGATGCTCTATTAGATTGTCGTCTACTGTAAATACAGTAAAATAATTGTCATGACACACCCTGCCGGAAGCAACCATCAGAAGATGGGTGCATTATGGGTCATACAGGGATGCACGTGGTTGGCAAAAATACTCAGGTAGGCTGTGGCATTTTAAAAATGCTCAGCTGATACTAAGGTGTCCAAAGTGTGCCAAGAAAGTATCTCACACATCATTACACCACCACCACCCTAAACCTGTGATGCAAGATAAAATGAAGCCATGTATCTGTGTTATTTCTGTGAAATTCTGACCCTACTATCTGAATGTTGCACCAGAAATTGAAACCCATCAGACCAAGTGGCAGTTTTTTAATCTTCCATCATTGAACTCTGGTAACTCATGTGAATTGCAGTCTCAAGATCCTGTCCTACAAGGTGTGGTCTTCTGCTGATGTGTTGTGTGTTCAGAGATGCTCCCCTGCATACATTGGCTGTTGTTATTTAAGTTACTGTTGCTTTCCTGTCAGCTTGAAGTAATCTGGTCTCTCTCTCGTCTGGCAACAAGGCAGTCACTGGACATTTTCACCTTTCAAACCATTCTCTGTCGTTTGGATAAATCCCAAAAGATCAGCACTTTCTGAAGTTGCCAGACCAGCCTGTCATACATATTCAAAGTCGCTTAAATCACCCTTCCTCGCCATTCTGTTGCTCTGGTTGAACCTCAGCAGGTCCCCTTGATCATGTCTATATGTCTAAATGTACTAAGTCACTGCTGAGTGATTGGATGATTTGATATTTGTGTTGCTGTGCAGATTAACAGGAGCACCTAGCAAAGAAGTCCTTGTCCTTGGGTTCTCTGTTGCTTGTGTGTGTGTGTGTGTGTGTGTGTGTTTTCAGCAACTTAAAACATAGATACTAGCCTTAAAAAATAGTGGATATCACTACTGCGTCATATGTGTTTCTATGCTTACCAAGGTGTGCTGTGGGAGCTCCAATTTCTGTTATTAAAGAAAACAATATGTTTGAATCTGTGGTATAAGATCTAAACCAGGGGTGTCAAACATAAGGCCTGGGAGCCAGAATTGGACCATTGGACAGCTTATGAAAATGTGAAGGAAGAGTTTCCCCCTAATAAACATAAATATCAGAGTACAAGAACACTTACCTTTTTAAAAAACACAAACCACAGAACTTCATCCCTTGAGTTTTGCAGTTTTATTAGAACAAGCACTATGTAGCAGCAGTGTACAGTGTTCATGGAAAGATATGTAACTTGTTAAAATTGCACTTTAGAAGGTACCCATCAGGAAATAGATTTGATCCAAACTGAGCTGACATAGTGCTTCATGATACATGTCAGTCGACAAAAAAAAAAAGTGTCCAATTCAGAAACCATAAACCTTTTTTTTTTTATAAGGCATCTGCAACATTCATTGGCAAGCTCTAGACATGCAGGTAGAAAATGGATGAAGAAAGCTGGAGGATTTTCTCTTTTTTTTCTCCACTACATTCTGACTCTATGATACCAAACACTACACAAAGCACTGGCCCTACCTCCACAGCTACAGATGTAGGAGGGAAAAGAAATCAGCTGCTGCAGTAGTGCCCCCACTTTTTTCCCCCTTATTTTCCCCCTAAATGTGCTGCATTTATTGTGATCACCAAAAATGAATCAGTTACATGTTGGGGTAGCAGAGCAGTGCAGAACATCTTTAGACACTGCAAGCGTTATACAGTTAAAACGTTTCTACTCCTCTAATGTCAAAGAAATTTCCCTTAATGTATTCCGTCCTTGGCTAAATGCTCAGTGTACTTAATCATCTGTAGGCAGGCGGGCTATGGAGAATGTGCGGAGTTTGACTTGTGAATGGCATACCTTCTTCTTGGCTCGGGTATTCTCATCTGTTGTGTGTTTGTGAGGCATTGATAAATGCATTAAGGCACAGCAAGTGAAACGGACGCTGCTGAGTTGTAGCATTAAGTTCGTGATCAGGGAAAAATAAAACTATATCCACGTGTATCTTGTTGTTTTTTTTATCTTTTAAACTACATGGATGCAAAGCAGTTCTAACTTTTTGGTTTGTTAATCTACGGTGTGATCAGTGCACACATGATGGATTTGCCTTAAACAGTTTTCGCTCTACATATTTATATTCACCTTTCCCCTCCTCGCCCTGCAGCTGTGAACAAAGAGATTCAGCTTTAACAACTATTCGCGTGTGTTCGGGTTGATTTTAAAGGCGCCCCCTTTATTTTTTTTTCTTTAGCTGTAAAACAAAAAAAGAAGAGACTAGGAAAGATTTTAAAGCTAAACTTCAACCTGGTGCTTTGAAGAAGCCCACAGCATAGCAGTAAATTCTCTGGGGAATCAGACACATTGAGACGTTTTAATGTTTTTACAGTATCCATCTGAAAAGCTGGCTTCTTTCATTTTTACAGGACGACCTGTAGGTGTCTCTGGTGTTTCATAATGAACTACGACTGCATGCGGTTTGGCGATTGAGTCACGGCGAGATGAAATCATTCCTTAAACAATTAATGATAAGATAAATTATCCATGGTTTGAGTAATATATCAAGAAAAATACCAAATATCTGCTGGTAACAGATTTATAAATGAATACAGTTAGTACTTTTTTTTTGCTCTACATCTTTGTAAATAATTCTTTTTGGTTGTTAATCAGAATAAAGATGATTTAAAAAAACATCTCTTTGGGTTTTTGTAAACTGTAACGAGACTCTGATGGAAAATTACTCCTTTATTAATTCAAAATAATTACATCTTCAAGCTGCGGCTGTTTTATGGAAATATGTGACTCTGCTATTCACGTTTCGTTATTAAATGAAGTACTACAAAAATCCCAAGGATCTGAGAGAACGCTGCAACCTGTACAAATCTTTTCTTATACTCGTGACTCGGACGTGTAAGCGCCCATTATTTGAATGAAACCCTCACATTCGGGAACAGAGTGGAGAGAGTTATGTATGCATTTATGTAACTGTGTGATTCAGACGAGTTGGTTTCGTGTAACAATGGTTATTATTAGACACTGGGGCTGCTGAGGTGAAGATCGCCCTTCCGTTTGCACTGTGTCACGACAGATCAGTGTTGACAGTCCACAGGGCCAAAACGCCTCGCGTTTAAATCACACCTCACCTCCCAGCACATGTTCAGCTCAGTTACTCATTAAAACGGCGTTTGTAGAGCCCCGTACTTCCTCCACAGTGGTCGAGATTAATTTCAAATGAGTTGTTTCCCGGGAGAGAGTGCTGCCATCCGACAGAGTCGACAGTATTAAAAGGCAAAAATAAATAAAATCTGCCAATTCACATAATTCTCTTTCACTAAATTCTGAGTCCGAGATATTTTTTATAAAAATACCTATTTTTTTTCTACAATAACTGATGATATAGTAAATACGGCTTTGTACCAGTGAAAGCTGCTCTCTACACATGCAATGTTATCATAGGTAATCTGTAGGTAATCAAAATGTCTACTTCATAGACTAGTCTACCCAAACTACTGTTGGAAATTAAATGGCTTCAACTTAAAGGCGCCTAATCGTGTGACTTGTACAGGTGTCTTTTTAAGGCAAGGACATACTGGGAAGTCAACAGAGCTGAGGAAACATCTACATAGGCGCGGTGAGACCCAGCTTCGACAAGCACAATGAAGGTGATCCTACGGTATGTTTCCATGGATGGGTGACCCTCCACAGGGTCGCTGGGCGTCGGGCCTTCCCTCAGCTCAGCAGTCATTCGTATCCATGCTCAAAGATGTTTCATCATCGTCGTGTTTCTCTTAACACCTTATTGTGCGTAGGTACCAGCCTCCTCGTCTGTGATGATGGAAACACAGATCCATGTGCTACCACAGAGTCACTGTAGATTCCATGTTAATGAAGCCGGGGTTTTTGCGGAGCTCCCAGTACATGTTGTTGGAGACCCATCTCTCCCTGTGATTGGCATCAACCACTTTCCTGGAATTACAAAGACAAAAGTGGAAGTTGTAAACCTAAAGGCAATGGGGAGAAATACACTATTCCCTACATACACTCAGCAGACACTTTATTAGATACACCACCCTCTAATACTGGGTTGGATCCTCCTTTGAGTTCAGAACTGTCTGAAGTCTTCATAGCACAGATTCAACACGGTGCTGAAAACATTCCTCAAGATTTTGGTTCATATTGACACGACAGCATTGCACAGTTGCAACATCCATGTTAACAATCTCCACCTAAGAATTTCAACCACATACTAAAGGTGCTCTTCTGGATTGAGATGTGGTGACTGTGGCTATTTGAGTTCAGTGAACTCATTGTCAAGTTCAGAAAACCAGTCAGAAGATGAGTACCCTGTGGATATAAAGTTATACGCATGTTAAGCAACAGGTAGGCCGTAGTCTTTAAACAATACTGAGTTGGTATCAAAGACCCTTTGGGAGATATTTTCCTCATAAATGTTTGACCCAAACGTTTATGAGGAAAATATCTCCCACACCATTACACCACCACCAGCCTGAACTGCTGATACAAAAGAGGAGGGATCCATGTTTTTGTATTGCTCATGTTCAAGTTTTGACCCTACCATTCAAATGTCAAAGCAAGTTTCTCAAATCTTCTGTTGTCCAGTTGGTGATCCTGTGTAAATTTTTGCCTCAGTTTCCTGTTCCTAGATGACAGGAGCAACACACAGTGTGGTCTTCTGCTGCTCTAGCCCATCTCCCTGAAGATTTGCTGTGTTGTGCATTCAGAGATGCTCTTCTGCAGACCTTTCTTCCAATGAATGGTAATTTGACTAACAGGAGTATATATATTAAGTAGATAAGGCAATAGAATATTTATCTTTATTCCCCAGACAGATCCTTACAACCTGTTTATATTAATAAAACAGAATTTTCTTTTTTTTTTCTTTCTTCTTTTAGAATACTCTGCGCAAAGAAAAATCCACTTTGATTTCCTTAGACCTGAAATGCAGATTATTTTTTTAAATTCTTTATATTCTCTTCTTCATGCTGCTAATGATAATATTCTTGCTTGTGTTTTTCTTAGTCTTGTCAAGAAGTATCATCTTTATGTTGATTTTGTGCCATCAACATATTTTATGGCCTTTACTCTCTCACTATGTGATTTTTAATGTTGTGTACACATAATAAGTGCTAATTATCCCTGAGTATAATACTTTATGTAATATATACTGTATGAAAAACTGTACTGGTGAGAAATTTGCAGAGGAGTGTATGAGATGGGTGAGAAAAATAAACTGACAGACTCTAGTAATGATTTAGGCTACTACAGTCAGTGAAAAACTTTAACTATATATTGTATTTTATATATTGTATTATATAATGTAATATTATCTTATTTATATGCATTTTTCATGTTTCTGTGTAATTCGACATTCTTACATTTATACTCTAATACTGCTTTGTTTTTGAGTCCGTTTCAATATATTACAATCTTGGAATTAAATGGTAATGACTGAGATATCACCATCGAAGATGGTTTATAGTTACATGTAATAAACTAATAATCATGAAGTCTAGTAATCAAAGATAATTAATGATCTAGCATTAGTAAATGTGCATTAATTTTTACTCAAAATGACTGGAGGCAGATGAAGATGGTTGCAACTTCTGCATTTAAGCATGTAGACATGATCAAGATAGCCTGCCGAAATTCAAACTGAGCATCAGAATAGAGAAGAAATTATTTAGGTGCCCTTGAACATAGTTGTTGGTGTCTCTATATGCACAACAGATTGTTTCTTGAAGCAGCAGAAAACCACAGCAGCAAAAGACCACAGAAGGTACCACAGCTATCAGCTAAGAGCTCACCAAAAGTATACATCTGTACAATTAGAACACTGAAAATGCTGGCCAGACTAATTTGTCTCGATTTCTGCTGTGACATTCAGATAGCAGGGTCAAAATCTGCCATAAACCACATGAAAGCATGGATCTATCCTGCCTTGCATCAGTAGTTCAGGCTGGTGGTGTAATATTGTGGGGGATATTTTCCCGATAAACTTTGGGCCCCCTTAGAACCAGCTGAACATCATGTAAAAACTACAACCTACCTGAGTATTGTTGCTTATCATGTCCATCCCTTTATGACCACAGTGTACCCATCTTTTGATGGTTGTTTGCAGCAGGATAACACACCATGTCACAAAGCTCAAATCATCTCAAACTGGTTTTCTGAACTCGACAGCGAGTTCACTGTAAATGGGCTCCACAGCCACCAGACCTCATTCCAACAGAGCACCTTTGGGATGCAGTAAAATTGGAACTATCATATCAATATGGACAAAAATCTCTGAGGAAGTGTATCTGTTCACCAAGAGATTTATAGACCAGACTAATTTGAATTTAAGTGTTGTCGTGTTCACATTTTTGTAGTTGTACAACCCATTTTATAATAAAATACCAGTTAAAATAAGAATGATAATACATAATAATAAACATACATAATTTTTTAAAACAATGCATTTTAACCCAGATTTTCATGTTCATCTATAAATCTCCCTACAGACACCAAATTGTGCTTCATTTGATTATTTGCAAAGAATGTGAATAATGTTAATGTTGAGTTTTCCGTGCAAACATTGAGCTGCTAAACATCCTAAAAATGGGACTTAAAACTAAATGGAAAAATGCTGACGCAGCCGCAGTCACATCCTCTCTTAAAAAGCAATAAATATTGATCAAATTATTGCAATAGAGAAGCAAATGAATGCTTCTGTACAGCATTTGATTGTTCTATTGCACTTGGTTACAAAATGTTCTCACATGTAATCACATGGCAACACAATGCCATGTGATTACAACACAACACAGACAAAGACAAGTATTTGTCGACTGCCCATAACTACGTGGTTATCTACACTCCGGCTCTTTCTCATCTTGTGTAACACGGCTTCTCTCCACTTCTGATGTCAGCAATTACTGCCTAATAATGTGATGTGTCTGGCTTAATGTTTTGATCAGCTACCTCAGGAGAATAAGACAAGGTGAGCAAGAGCTCCCCAATCAAATCAGCCTCATAGCAGCTTCTTCTCTTTTTACCCGTATTCTTCCAAAATATGAGATCTTTTTCATTCTAATGTACTTAATCAGTCCAGATATTTTCCTCATTTCAACACTGAGATGTGTGTAGTAGGCTGTCTGAATGGAGCCAATCAAAGCCAATGAAAGACAAAACTGAACATGAAACGAAATAAAAAAACAAAGCGATGCATTCTACAAGGTGAATAATGCACATCTGGCTGCTGCTTTGTGCATCCTTACTTAAAGAAGCGTGGCTCGTGTTTGATGTTGTTCTCCTCGTTCCACTTCCTCCTGACCCTCTGCATGTCCTCAATACGCTGCTTTTCTGATGACGCCATTTCCAAGTTACCTTCTTCCAGATACCTAAATGAAAGGATGAGAATTTGTAAACATGATGAGAAAAACTACTACCAGCAGACTGACTTCAATGAAATTGCAGCCAGACCGGAAGAAATCAGTCACACTTTTTTTTCCTCAGTTGCTGCAAAAATATGCAGCGTTAGCAGCTCGTAGTGCCAGGTGCAGATGTGATGTTATACCTTTGATCAGGTCTGAATCTGGCGTCCGTCCGCGGCAAGGCATCTTTTAACTCAGGACAAAGCTCATTTAGTTCAATGGCAAACCTGGTGAAGCCGTAGTAAAGCTCATAGTCTGTGGGCATGGAGCCTGGGGGAGGAAAGCCAACAAAGTCCCCTTTTAGCTTTAAAGCTTTGTACAGCTAGTCCTGAGTGAAGTCCCGCTGTGAGAGTGAGCGAGAACTGATTCTTACCTGGCCTCCAGATGCATTTAGCAGAAGGTGGGACACCACAATAAACACCCTCGTGCCATTTTCCAAAAAGCCTGTGGATCACTTTTCCTTCCTGATCCATCACAAATCCTTGAACTTCATTCACATTTGAACTCCAGTAGTTTCCCTAAAAAACATAAACTTCACTGTTAGCTTTTTCAAGTTATATATAAAACTAAACCAGCCTAGAGTATTAGAGGGAAACCCCAAACGGTTCATTATGAACATCTGGCAATTGTGAGGAGGAAGAACTCCCTTTTAACAGGAAGAGACTTCTCATTCAGGAAGAGGCAGCCATTGCCATACAACTAGTTGAGGAGAAGATAGCAAAGAAGCAAAAAGCTACCCAAATCATCTCAATTATTTTTCACCTTGACAAAGGTAAGTTTGCAGAGGCAAGCACTGCTCTTTATGTTTCTGATGGTAATCTCCCCGTAGTGTTCAATCCACCGCCGTCCACTGAGGATGTTGTGTACACAGGTGGTAACTTTATTCCATTCGTATTGATCACCAAACCTAGAAAGCCACAATAAAAACAGCTTCAGGTACTGCAGGTGTAAAAAGGCTAGATTATTAAAGTAGGTGATACAACTATGTTCATTTTTTGTGTAACCTCAGTGCTTTTCGACTTCTGTGAGGTTGTCACTGTAATCATACCCCAAGAAGTTATTATTTGTGGGTTGGTCTATACAGTAGATCCTTGTGACCAAATCCAATCAAGCCAATCAAAAGAAATATGGCTTTAAAGCAAGGGGAGCTTAAATGATTAACTCCGGGAATGCTGGATTTTTCTGGGGCTCTTAGGTGTTTTTAACAGCTTTGACAGAACTAATAAAGTTTTTTGTTGTTGTTTATTTCTGTTGATTTAACACAAGCCTGTATTTCTCAGTCATCATTAAAATCTCGATATTTCCATGAAGGCAATTAAAAGCAGAAACCTGGCGATTAACATAATCCCAGTGACATGAAGCATTAAAACCAACCAAACTCTGCACCTTCAAGTTCAGTTACCATGCACACCATCTGGGTGAAGGTTACCTGGGTATCATGAGATTTACACTCCCGATTGGTAAAATTTCCATTGATTTTCCCCAGAACTTGTTTTTCCATCTCACATCTGGAAAGAAAAACACCAAAAATATCCCATTAAAATAATTTTTAAAATGATTTTTTTTAACATTTTGTCTAAAATCATACCAAATAACATTTATGTTTACTCTGTACAATTTCCGCTGGTTATTAAAAAGGCTAATTGAGTCCTGCTGGCTGATCTACACTAAGCCATATCTCCTGTGAGGAAAATCCCTAACTAATTAGACAGGTAACCTACCTTGCCAGAAGGTGAAGTTCTTAGACTCACAGTGGCAGGCGGAGACGGGAGGATGGTGGCTCACCTTCGAGAAAAGATCAAATAAAAAAGAGTCTGGCAGCTGTCGTTTAGATAGCACATCATATACAGCCTCTACTCTTAATAACACATTTATTGTGACGATTTTAATTTTGTCTATAATATTCGTTTGACAGTTTTGGTTCACAGAAATTGTGATTTTTTTTTCACTGTAAATTTATTCTGAATGCTGAACTTGCACTCTCCTGCTAGACACTGGAATTACTTACGCCTGGTGTCTGGGAATATTTTCCCCAGGGAAATCAAAAGACTAAGCATGAAACTCCCTGATCTTGCAGGAAGCCCAACAGCTTATATATTTCTGTGTCAGGTTGGTGATGAACCCTTGTATTTACAGAATTAACTCTGAGACTTTGAGGAAAGATCTTCCAGTGTAATGTTTGAGAGCCCAGACGCACATGTGTTTGGACTGTGGGAAAGAGGCCAGACTATCTGGACAGAACCCATGCAGGCACACGCAGAAATGCTACAGTTGTGTTAGTCCTGTGTTGGACGGGCAACCTGCTCAGTCTCACACCTCTGACAGCTGGGATAAACTCCCAGCTGTCCCAGTGTTGAAATACATTGAACTGAAGTGTAACCTACTGATTTTCCGTCGTTATTAAAGTAGTTCAGTCAACAACAGAATTATGATTTATGCTTAATTTCAGTTTGATTATTGTAATGGATTGTAATCGGTATCAAGAAGCCTTCTTATAAGAAGCAAGAAAACTGGTTATATTACACCAGTCTTAATGACTACACTGAATGCCCATTTCTTTTAGAACTGATTTTAAGATTTTACCTATCACTGTTAAAGCCCTTCGTGTCCTGGCTCCAGAATATATACTGAAACTGCTGTTCCTGTATGCCAACCAGTGCACAGCCTCAGATCCTTGGGCAAAAACTGTTTACTGTTCCCATCGCACGCTTAAAGACAAAAGACGGTCACTGTTCGGAGAGCAGCTTCCTGGAGTCCAGCTTGCCTCATATTTATCACAAGCCATTTTGATGTTGCACTTGAGTCTTATTTTAATTCATATATATAAACATTCTTTAAAATAATTTCCTTCCATTTCTTTTATTCTGTGTTTCTTAGAAGCACTTTGCAACACTGCTTCAGTTTTCAGCTAATCTAACCTCTGGAGCAAACATGTAACAGCAAGTATAGAAACTCAACCTGATTTCGTTTTTTAATATCTCCTTCTATGTTTCGTCTTCTTCCGGATAAGAGCACAGTGAAGCACTGGGCTTTCTTGCAAATTAGATAAAACCGAGTCCTTGAGGCGGCCACACACAAGAACAAAGGCACAGACCTTGCGGTTAAACCGAAGCACTCCAAGGAAAGCTCCACCGAGCTTTTTAGACCTCTCCAACATAATGAGACCTCCTCAGGAAAAAATGAGCTACTCTATAAATTCCTTCTTATTGCTTAAAATTGACTCATTTTGAACTGTGTGAGCAGGTGCTTACCTGCTCAGAGAAAAAACAGAAGCCCTTGTCTTCCCGAATACATTCGTAAGTCTCTCCGAGTAGCGGGTTGAATGGCTTGCTACCTGCTCTGTAGTAAGTGGATGAGTAGCCTGAGACAGCAAAAGCAGCGACGAGAACCTGAACGAGAGTCATAAGAGCATAAACACAGAGTGGATTTACAGGCTCCTCATTACAGGCTTTGTCACGAATAAGCTAAACAACAGAATCTGTCATTCAAATGTTATTCAAAGGACAGGAGGCAGCACATCACGGGCATATATGTTAGCTTGTGGCTTGCAGTGTGACATCACACATTAATGAATTAATGAATCACCACACTGGAAACTGATTAACAGTTCATTTCATAAGCTCCGGCGACTTCTTTACCATGCGCTCAAAGGGATCCTCGGTCTCAGCAGCCTTATCCAGCAGCTCGCTGTACTCCAGCTCTTCACACATGCGCTGCAGGGTATTGAGGGGCTCGTTGAGCTCCACGGGCATGGACACTTTGGACAGGTCTTTGCCGATGTTGTTTCGCAAGATGTTCCAGAGGTTGATGTTGCTGGTGTCAGGACAGGGTGCCGACAAGCAGCTGCGCCGTCCATTACGAAAGGCGCTGCCAGCAAAGTCTCCGTTGGCCACTGAAAAAAAGATAAATAATGAAAAGAAGGAATCATTATTACAACATCCATCTGGTGCAACAGGCTATGCTAGTCCTAGAAACGCCTAATTAAGTATAATTATAACAAAGAATTTAAAAAAAGAAGCATTTTTTGGTCGTGTTGCAAGTCTTTGTGTAAAATGCAGCAGGATGTTTTTGGTTTTTTTTAATATTCTAAGAAAAAACTTTTTCTTATTTTTTCTTAGTTTGTTTAATATATGCCGACTTTGTAATTTAAGTAGTGAGGACATGGCATGGTATTAGTGCAGGTTTAGCTGCAACATCAAATACACTGAAACGACTCTTGTACTTCACCAGTAGTTGTGCTGTTACAGTGATAGACGGTCATATTACACAAAGTCTGAAACAATGATGTCAGTGAATGTACAAGTAATCCTTGTGAGCCAAAAGCTCAGGGTTAAGATTCTTATAAACATTTGGTTTCAAGCTGTTTTTTCCTCTTTTGGATCCGGGCAATGTCAAAGACGCGATCGTCTCAGGCACGTAGCTCTGGCTGCGAGAACACAAACGCACCCACCTGCCTGCTAAAAACCACCGATTTATGAGGGGCAACCAATCAGAAGAAAGTTGACTAAAACGGTTTGATATAGATACTTGTGAACTTGACCCAGCGTAAGGTTAACAAGGTTTACTCTTCGCTGTGAATCATGCAAAGTAGTTGTGTCCAAAATTAAAAAGATGGGGTCATAAATTAGCACAATAGGTCATCTTTAATTTAGCTTTTAAGCAATAGTTTTTCCCTGTAATGAATAAAGAAATATCTGTATGTATGTTTGGTGATTTTAAAGAAGTTTAAAAGAGTAGTGGTCACATAATTGGATTCCTTCCTAGATTTACATATATATATGTGCTGATACAGTGTGTTCAGGTAGTGTCATAAGCTCTTACACTCAATTTGTAACCCTGCAGATGATGTCACTCTCCTCTGTGACCTAGATAACGTAGACTATAAATAAATCTCCACTGTGACATCTACCTTTGCTAATCCTGAAATGCCAGTGACAGTGGACGCTTTACTGGAAGATACTACTCACCATGAGAAAATAACACCAATTCTAGCTCATTTCCAAAACTTTCAGACTAGAGGGAGCCTGAGTAGTTTTTTCCCCCTTTCTGTTGCCCTTAGCAACATAGCAAAGTCAACTGCCTTTGCAGCACTGATAAATGAATTTGCAAAGTGTGTGTCTTTGTGTGGGAATGTGACGTTATTGTAGAAGCAGCACGGCTGACGGACTGAGTGGGATCTCCCCCTGCTTTATTCATTTCTCATGTCCTTTTGTTCTGGTACAAACAACGGTTGCTCGTGACAGCGCAGAATTGGACCTACTTTGTCTGGAGACGTTATCAGTCACGCTGGCGTTGTCCTCGGAAATGTTATCGCTCACATCACTGACATATGACTCATCGTCTGAACCCTGTGAGAGGAACAGGTACACAGGGGAGTGAGGCAGTGCAGTAGTACAACACGAACGGATCAGAACAGCCTCACACTCACACGCACGCATGCACTGCAGTTTGCCATTGGCTAACAAACTGCAGCAGCATGCCGCCTATCTGTCCCACTGCAGTAATCATGAGTCAAGACACTGCAGTATTCATACTTTATATATAGCAAACAAAATAAGGTCACATTTGAAAGGGCCATATTGTAGCCACTTTGGGTGAAAGCTGCTTTTCCAGTTTATGTGACAAAAAAAAGAGAGAAAAGGCTTGCCGTTAGAGCTACAGGCCAGGGGGATGATGAATTTCCACGCTCAGTAATCCTTCAGCATAGCTCAATGCATGCCTGGGGAGTTACAATGCTTGATGGGTCTTCAGGGACCATACGCAGTATATTTGGAGCAGAATGTTCACAGCCGTTAAAAAGGGAAGGAGGCAGAAATGGTTGATTTGAGTGATGGACCGAACATCCTCTTCCACTTGATGCTTTTTAACAAAGCATAAAGTGGAAGAGGATCATTTTGATTCTTAGGCATGACTCGGGGATTAGGCCTCAGGCAGATGCGAAGGAGCCCTCCTGTGTTTACGTTTCTTTTACACTCCATCTCTGCTCTTCGTGACTTTTGCATTAATTACTGACTAAATCTGTCTCCACACACACACAGGCATCACGCTGATGTTTTTCACTGGCTTTACAGCAGAAGTATAGTTTAACCTCACTAAATCCACATCCATCACCACATCCACTCCGCTTCTTCATCCGCCCCGCTGTACCTCGTTCTCTGACGAGCTGGCTGACAGAAGCACTTCCTGGGCATCAAAAAACTCAGAGACAGATTCTGACATGGAGAGTCGGCTCTCATTAGAGGCCTGCTGAGTCAGAGGGATCCCCATCTGTTCCCCGGCCTGCAGGCAAACACAAGCAAATGCAGGAGACGTTCACTATTTCTTGCTATGATGACAGGTTGAAGAACCAAAACTGACCTGAACGAAGACAAACAGAACCAGAAGACAACACAGTGCTCATATTGCAGCATGTGTCTCTTTGCCAAAAGGCAACCTCCCATCCGTTTCTAATTAGTCAGTTTTTCCATTAACCTTGATGTCAGGTCCTGCATAGAATAATGATTCCTGAAGCTCACCTGCCAGGCTGTACTGGAAAGGCCATCAGTCTATAGGAACGAGAATCAATAATCCAACTGACAAATGCAGGAAGCAAATACATCGACTACCTGGCGAGCCTCCGAAGCTGTAGCTTTATCAATATCAGGGTAAGCAATGAGATTTGTCAGTGATAGACAGTGAGCTACCTCATCAGGTGTGGAGATGATGTTCACACTCACAACTTGCTCAGTCAGGACAGACTCAGAGTGGATGCGGTTGAGTCGAGTTCGAAGTTCTGCATTTTGCGACAGGGCCTGAAGAATAAAAAAGGATTTCTGTCATTCAAATCTCACACGAAACTTATAAAATTAAATAACAAATAAACAAATAAAATTATTTGCATCCTGCTTTTTCTGTAAAAAAAAAATCCCAGTAGATTGTCAGTTTCTGAAAATTCCAACAACCATGCTATGTTCATAGTCACAAAATCATCTTTCTTCCCTATTCGAGTTTGAACTTCAGCAGGTAATCCCAATGACGTCTACTGCCATGGTGGTTGGTTAGATTTGTGTTAAGTTAAGCTGCACCAAAGTGGCCAGGTAGTGTGTTTTGTTTACTTTACGGTCATGACCAGTGTCCAGTGATGGTTCACTCACCACAGCTTTAATTCATTATTCACATACTCATACATGAAGGGCAGGCCAGTATTAACTCCTGAGGTCCAAATGTTGTCAGTTTGTCTTCTTCTCTTACTTGTTCTCATGACTATATTTAGAGATTTTTACAACTGAAGAGGGCAGTTTATAGTTGTGATAAATCCACTGTGAAGCAGCAGAAGAGGAGAGGAGTCACAGCGACTAGCTGGTGGACAGAGCGAAGTGTTTAACTGATTAAGAGCCACACAATAGCCTCAAAGCCTTGTGGAGACAAAAAGAGAGGAAGTATTAGACTCTCGTTCATCAGGTGGCCAAAAATGTAATTAAGTTAATGCAATGCTGTTCCTTTCTGCAGATGTTTGATCAAAACTTAAAAAAAAGAAATAGAAAATGTAGGTTTAGGTATAAACGTACCTACTGTATGCCAAAGGAAATATTAAATACATAAAAATAAGATGGCAATAACACTCACTTATATCCTGCGGGGATTACAGTAGCTGACATAAGCAGCTGTAACTATAGCAACCACAACTCCTGATTATCAACCTCCCACAGAGCTCTGCCACCAAACCTGACCTCCATCCTGCGACAAGCGTGTCACACGAGAATCCAATTAGGAACAAAACGGAGATAAAGCAGCGAGTGAAACATTTCACTGAAATGATGTCAACTGTTAGCAGAGGAACAGTCCAATTAAATCGCGGTGGTAGAAAGACAGCCCCGAGGAGAAGAGTTAATGAACTGCACTGCACATTTCTCCCGCTCACCAATTAATGTGGGAAAAGATGATTGGACTTTCACGGCTCACTTGCCTGGGCTCTCATCTCCACACATATTTTTTCTTTTTAACTGTGATGTTGATACAGCGTCACAGTTTGCATTTGTAGCACGAAAACAGTTCAAAATATAAGTTTGGCTAAGACTAAATAGAAGGAGAAGAGAGACATCACCACCAAAGATTATATCGGCAACATGTCCTCCAGCTACCTCTGGTGATACGTTGTAGATAGACTGGTGGCAAATACTGAGGCTTTCATTAAAACATGCAGGTGCTCTAAATGGTCTCCAGCCAGTTTCAGCTGCCAGATTTATGACTTCCTGACTTCTCACAGTGGCGCTAATCGTGTAAAGCTAAGTCGCCGTAGAGAAAAACTCTGTCAAGATGGACGAAAGCAGGTGAGACCAAACTAGAGGGAGCTTTAATAACACATTATTAAAACTACATAATGATGATAGTACTTATAGACACTGTCACTGCAGTGCAGCAAACACTAGATTAATCCTGCATTTTGCCTTTTAGCTGTATTTTTTCATATCTGGTTACACAGACATTGTGCAACATATTAATAATAACAGAACTGTTCTTCCATAACAGCATCACGATCATATTGTTAGATTAACATCAGCATCTGGTTTAAAGAAAATCTTGCCACAGGAGCCATTTTATTATTGTCTCTAGGCTTTTGGTGAGAAAGCTGTAACACTGAATTTGTAACTGAGATGTTTTTTTATACTGGCCTCATCTTTAACACTAATAATGAGAATACGTGTTTGCTGCTTCATAGAGCTGCTGTGCAAAACGATGACTGGCTCATATTTTACTCAGCTGTTGTAAAGCAGATCACTGACTTCTACGTGTTACAAAATTATCTCATTGATTTCGATTCAGCGTCCTTTCTGTGCCATATCTCCTCCTTGCATGTCTCTGGGATCATATCATGGGTTACTCTGATTCCTACTGAAGGGAGCTCATTACCTGTGACAGAGACTTCCTGAGAGAGTTGATCTGGGACGACTGGTCTGGCTGCTCCTGATCAGACAGAATCTGTTTGATCTTTTCCTTCTCTATGGCCACAGTGTTGAAGGCCGACTTCAGCAGCGAGTGGACTGCAGAGAGACAGGATCAAAGAAAAGCAGTAACTTAGAAACCCGCGCACCAGTTCAAAGGCATCGCCAGCTCCTCTGTCGCTATTTGCCAATGAAAATCTCATCTCTGAAAACACTGTGTGATTATTTTCTATAACACTGTTCACATTTGATATATTAAAGAGTTTTTGAGCGTTTTGACAAGCATCCACACAAACAAAAGAAATTATTTATCACAGGCACACATTTAGTTTCATTGTACAGTTACTACATCTGACACTAAATGATGGATGAATGATGAAAAATGTGAGTCAGAATTATTATTTTCTTGCGATAGCAATTATATAAAAATAAAAGTTAGAGGCAAGTTTAAGGTCACCAGCTGTGAAAACTTCACAGCTGGTGACATCAGAGGGTTCATTAATTTCCCAGATTTGCTAGATTAAAATTAAAACCCCACGTGCCAAAAAGTGACTTTTATTTGTCTCATCTCGGCTAAAGCTGTTCTCTCTGTGTAAAAATCAGTCACACAGTGGTACCAAGAATGAGACATAACATCCACCATGTGCTGGTTTACTGGTTTCTAAGCCACTTCATGGACTGGAACCAGATCATTTTACTAAAGTGCTGCCCCCTTACTTTGCCCTTCATATCTTTCAGATCTGCTGAGCTAGCGCTGCTGTCCATCCCACACACCGACTTTAAAACCATGATTGTGCATTTTTCGGTTGCTGGCCCTAAACTACGGAACAGTTTGTCATTAACAATTAGATTTCCCTTCTCCTGCAAGGAATTTAAAACCAGTATAAAGACCGGTCTCTTTTCCTTAGCCCTTTACTTGCTATAAACCACATTTCTTGGCTTTATTTGCTTGTGCAGTACTGTCCTCGTTGTCCGTCTCTCTCTCTTCATATACAGTGGCTTGCAAAAGTATTCGGCCCCCTTGAACTGTTCCACATTTTGTCACATTACAGCCACAAACACGAAGATCATTTAATGATGATCAGCAGCTACAGTATGAGAATAAAGTCCACCTTGTCCTACATGCTACATTCGTACCTTTCTGGGCAATAATGCAGAACTCCTCTTGAAGTTTAATGTAGTCGCTGGCACACTCTACACTGTCTGTCAAGCGGGAGACCGGGGGCTGAAAGTCCACCAGCTCAGCACACAGGTTAGGGTTGGATGAGTGGAGGCGGACAGGGGACATACTGGCAGACAGAGGAACCTGGAGAGAGAGACAATCACAGAGGCTGACTGTCAGTCACCCGTGTGGCACAACAGTGCTCTTCTTTTTGTGTCTTGCAGTCAAAACAATCTCTAAGAACCACAGAACTAAATCTGACAAGACCAAACATTATTCTGATAAATTTCTAGTTCACTCTTTATCTGAAGGGCCTTTAAGCCCTGGACCTCTGACAAGAGCTTTAACCAGGCATTAGCAGCTAAAAATGGCTAAACAGCATAAGAGCACGTAGCTAATTAGCATATCACCAGATAATAAAAGTTAATGAAGTTATTGTTAACACCGGCGCAGAGTTCTTTTAAATGGCTAAACAAACCTACAGGTAAACTGTGTTTTTCACCACGACGCTTAGTTAGTGTGTTACTTTCCTGGTTTGTCTCATTCTGTTCATGCACAGAGTTTGTGTCACATCCTCGCCTCTGTTAGCATGTGGACGTTTGTGTTGAGAATTTGGTCCCTGGTTTGACACGAGATGCCAACATGCCACAATGAGGATTCTTTTTAAAATTACTTTCCTAAAAACGACACTGAAGGAAATGCTTCCATAGTCTTCTCTCAGAGTAACAATCTTTTATTTATGAAATCTATAGGTGTCTAAGAGCCCAGGTTTCCCTGGTAACAACATCTTACCAGGATAGGCCATGCTGGGGAATGTAACGCTCTAGATAACAGATCAACAAGTATGAAATCACCTCCCACAGACCAGTGAAATCTCAGAAAAATGGGCCAGCATTCCTGGAAGTGCTTTCTGACCTCTGCATATCTTTATCTTTACCGGAAGATGTCACTTTGCTGCGTACAGCAATTTCGTTTTTCTATAAGCATTAATATAGCCTATGATCCTAAAAGAGAACACCGATTGTATTTTCTGACCTTATCTCAAATTTACACACAGAGTTAGGCCTACATTTGAATTCTGTTTATGCATTTTCTCATCACCCGGGCTAAAAATTAAGACTATCTCACATACACTTTGCCTCACATAACATTTCATGGAATAACAATTGTAATTCATCAGATTCTCCCCCGCCTTAATGACACAGCACTGATAGTGTTGTTAACTTACACTGTCAGCGCTTTCCTTCTTGGCTTCAAACAGGCTAAACTTTATTAATATAATAGATCTTTTCCAGTCTTACTCACCAAAGCACTTATACCACACACATACCACTGGTTTGCCTGCAGAGGCTGTTGTACTTTCACTCTGTATTACGTCTTTAATGTCTTCGTATTTTTCAGTATCACAGTTTTATCTTCCTTTGTAAAATCAGCAGTATCACTGTTCATGTTTGTGGCCATGTGAAAATGCTCGCAGCTAGATTCATAAACCTTAAGATGATTTATCGAGTTCATAACCATCTTCATAGCCTGATTGCAGATGTTAGCGTGAGTGAAAATATTCTGGGTCTGTTGAAATTGCTTGTTAGCGTGGAGCCATGGTGAAACAAAAAATGCATTCAATGAGCAGTATTGACATTTTACTACTAATGGGATTAATAAAAGTTTAAGACTGGTTTAACAAAGTGCATAAAGTTACATGGACACACATTTAGTTTTGCACAAACTGATATATCGTGCAAAATTAAGATATATTAGCAAAATCAGGCCGAGCCGCACGACAATAACAAGTGGAGCTGCAGACTAAAGAACAAAAAAGAGAAAAACGAGCAACAATAGAAGAGGCAGAAACAAAATTGTTGGCTTCTGTGTCATAAGTCTGACCTCTCAGTTACCCCACAATTTACACTTATTGTGTTATAAGTAAAAACTTGAATAATGTTTTGCTTAGAGACTTAGAGATTTTCTCACAGTGACATATGCATCTGTGTATGGGTGTGTTTGTGTAGACGTCTGAAGACAGGTACCTGAAGCTGGAATTTTGCATCTTTGCCGACACTTTTTGTTCTCCATCTTCTGTTCAAGCGCTTTTCTTTCTTTGATAACTCAACGCAATTGGTCTTTTGGGCACACGTGGATCAGAGCATGAAAAATGTGGTTAATAAGACAAACACATCACAAAAAACAAACCAAAAAACCAGAAAGTTACCACAGACATAGATCAGTGAAATGACACGAATGGGTTACATGCAAAAAAAAGGAATGTGTGGTATTAAAAATGCATTTCAGCCAAAAATAACCAAACAAAAACCTCACGATATAAAACAAACACAATAAATTAACAGATACTGATCAGTCAGAAAAGCAGCAGGTGTCCTGTGAGTATCGCTGGATCTCGGCAGGTAATGAAGGTGACTGCAGAGGTCGCACCATCGTCACTGCCTCAGCTAGCCTGAGTTTACAATGCAGGATTGCACTAACTTGCTTCCCCTTGCTCTCTGCTGTATGTGTGTGTGTTTGTTTTACCTGCATATCTGTGAAGTTGGGCGCTGACTGTGTCCTTTGTAGAATCTCCAGACTCTGCAATAACCGGCTCAGCTCAGTCAGGTTGGACTGGCAGCGTGCGAGCTCTGAAAATAAAATTTACACGCGCGGTCACGATCTCATTCAGCGTTATGTGTCACAAAATGGTCACCAAATCATCTCTCGCGGATTTATTGCCGTGCCAAAGGCTTGATTTAATCCACTCCTTTTGTGAAATCTGATTTATTAGAAGCGTAGGGAAAGTGTGCATTTACCCTCTGCACACTTGTCCATTTCCTCTGACTCCTGCAGCCATGCCACCACCTTACTCTGTCCGTTACTGTAGGATGCAGGCAGGCTGCTGGTGCTGCTGTTACTGGGGGCTGCTGGCTGCCATGGCAAGCTGCTCGGTTTGGTCTGCTGTGGTGACACAATAACAGAGCCTAAGATATCATTTCGGAAACTACTGTAGTGGTCAATCAGGCACTGATGATACCTATAGCTATACAAGAAGCACTTATGTCATTAAAGAAAGGATACTGTGGATTAGGGCTCCAGCTAATGTATGAAATGTTCTTCTGATCAATGTAATTTTGTCTGCAACAGACAAAAGAGGAAGAAATGAGAACCAATATAATTACATCAATCAGATTTTTTTTCCTTTGGTGCATCACTGAAATCAAATCAAATCGGACGATTGTTACAATATATACAATTATTTTTGACAGTGAAGGTCAAGGTCAAGGTCTTGCTTGTACATAGTTGAAGGTTTTGGTCTAGATTTGCCTCTTTCAGTGA